TCTCCGGAACTTCAGAAATTGCCCTTTGCAATTCTAAACCTACACCCTCTTGATCTACTGTCTCGAGGCACTGAAAGTATTAACCTTCTGAATCCCATTTAGAATCATCCTCCATATAAGGTGCCCTCAGACAGAGCCTCTGTAATCCAGCATCCACATTCAGCAAAATGATTCAGATGCCATTCTCACACAGCAGTGCCCATCACATGCCCATATTTACAGTTGTAAACGTTGAATGTGTTGTCTTCATCCATTACCTGTGAATTGTGTTTTGTTGTTATAGTTATTGTAACAAAAGCAAGGATTACTATTAGTAATTATTATTATTGGCAGGAAAAGATGCGATGAACCAACAGAGAGTTTACTGTTAATGTAGGAGCAAGGTGTGAGGACAGTGCCTTGACAAGGGTAAGAGGTTGGATGGGCAATAAGCATATTAGGATTGATAAAGCAAGATATTGTTTTACTATCATGCTATATGAAATGCAGGAATTATCAATGTAATCTTTATATTTGATTTAGCACTTTTCATGTTAGTATGACATCTCAAGACATTTCACACAATATAGTGACTGTGTATTTTGTTGTTAACCTGATAGGTCAATTTGCACATAGAAATGTCACACAAACAGCCATGATCCAACTGATTAATTTTATTTAGGGGATTGCTGGCCAGCATCCAGGAGAAACAACAACAGCAACAAGATTCCATTTATAGAGCGCCTTTCACGTCGGGAGGACGTCCCAAGGCGCTGAGAAACTCCTTTCTCTTTTCAAATGGTATCAAAGATCTTTAACGTCCCTTGAATAGGCAGTATCTCATCTGAAGGACATCTCCGACAATGCAGCACTCACCCAGCATTGCACTGGAGTGTTAGCCTAATGAGCTCAAAGCCCTGACGTGGAGCTTGAACACACAACTCTCTGACTCAGTGACGAGAATGCTACCAACCGAGCCAGGCTGACACCCAAGAGAATGAAAGCCAGAAAGGAATCAATAATTATGCCTGGTTCATGGCAATTTCAAGAGGTTTTAAAAGACTCAATTATTGACTGAGACCCTCATAATTGATTACACTTTCGATAGATCCAGCTCTGAAATCACTGTGTAAACTCAGGAAACATATTGAAACAACCTTTTTTTTTGCTGGACCAGCAATTTACTACTTTGAGGACAAGTAGTCCTCACCCTGCTTGCCATTAAAATTCACCCCCGGCCCTCGCAAACCTCCGTTTCCATATTCCCAAACTTGTCTCCTTTCCTCCCGCTTCCCTCAAATTTACTACGGTCCCTCCCCTAAATAAGAATGAATAATCCTTCCATTTGAAGCATCAACTTTCAAACCTCAAAACACTTCACAGGATTTAACGTAAAGCCTAGCGACTGTGTATTTTATAAGCAGACACAGCAGTCAATTTGCACAAAATGTCCCAAACAGCCATGAAGATAATTACGAATTTTATCTGAAGTAATTATTGGCCGACACCAGTAGAACATCCTTTCTCTTTTCTATTAGCTCCATGGGATTTTGAATGTCCACCTGAATAGGTTTAACGTCTCAACCAAAGGACACCTTCGACAATGCAGTGCTCCCATGGTACGATAGTGGCATGCCAAACTAGACTTTGAGCTCAAAGTTCAATATGGTCCTTGAACCCACAACATTTTGACTCAAGAGGTGAGTGCTACCAACTGAGCCAGGCTGACACTTGGGGCATCTCAGGGCTGTGAAGGATTTTCCTTTTGAATCTCTCAAACAAGATTGTTCTGGAGTTTTAATGACTTGTTGGGATTTTGACTTACTGTGCTAACATTCCAATGTCCAGACTGTTTGTGGGACACTGCTGTGCACAATTGCCTGCCGCATTTCTCCCACAAATTATACAGTCAATTCCCTTTATAGTATATTCTGTGAAGCGCTTTGAGACATCTCAAAGATATTATAAGGCGTTATATACTCCAGACGCCTAATAATAATCCCTCCAAAACCAAAAGCAATAATAAATTGGTCATTTTCAATCTACAAAAGGAGACCAGCACTCAGTCGCTGCTGCTTTGCCCTCCTTCACTTTGTGCATTGTTTGCTCCCCATCCTTTATATTCCCTGAGAGTCTCTGCAAAGAGGAGAGAGAGAAAGAAAGAAAGAGAGAGAGAGAGAGGGGGAGAGAAAAAAACTGAAAGTGAGACACAGACAGAGAGAAAGGAAGACATCGAGGATTCAGCCACAGATGCAATGGTGCAGCCTCTGAACCGGGAGGATGTTCCGCTCCACTGGTAGGTTTTCTAACGCAATCCCAACTTTCTGCAAACTCTTTTGCTAACTGTTCCAACTACTCCCTCTCTCTCTTCTCTCCCACACTCTCCCTTCCTTCCTTCCTTCCTTCCTTCCTCCCTCTCTCTCCCCCTCTCTCTCCATCCCAAAGCCCAGCCACATCGTTCCCTTCTCCTTCCATCATCACAGCACACACACAAGTTGGAAGTTAGAATAAACTTTGCGATCATTTAGGAAGAGACATTAAGACACCCCCCACCCCACACACTCACACACACACTCCCCACCCCTACCCCACTACCCTTCCCTGTTAAATTGGGTGCTTAGTCTGGGAGATGAAAGGGGATGGGTGGTGGGGGGGGTGTAGAGAGAAACATCCCAATAATCCACATGAAAACCCTGGCTGCTATTTTAAAGGCTCTATTCCCTATCACTAAAGTCGATTTAGTGGGTGGGGGAGGGCTGCAGAACAGCACTGCAGCAAAGGGGAAATATTTTAAGGGTGGGGGGGAGAGAAAGTTATACACTTTTTTTTAAAAAAAGAAACTTTTTTGGAGCTGGGGGGTGGGGGGGCCAAAAGGACAGTCAGGGAATATTGTGAGTGAGTTGGGAGGGGGAGTTATGTCAGATTTATTATATTTTTATTATATATTATGGAGTCCTGTAGCTCAGTGGTTAGAGCACTCGCTTTGCAAGTGAGAGACCTGAGTTCAATTCCAGGCACAGGGCGAAACCTTGGGCAAGTTTCCTTACTCCACACAGAGCCTAATAATAATCCCTCCAAAACCAAAAACAATAATAAATTGGTCATTTTCAATCTACGACTGTTTGTGGGACATTGCTGTGCGCAATTGGCTGCCGCGTTCGCCCACAAATTTACAGTCAATTCACTTTACAGTGTGTTCTGTGAAGCGCTTTGGGACGTCCTCCCTACGTGAAAAGCGCTATATCAAATGCAAGGATTATTATTATTATTATTATATCAAATGCAAGGATTATTATGACAGCGCTGGATTAGCGCTGCATTGTAGGAGATGCCGTACTTCAGATGGTGTTAAATCAAGTTTCCTGAATACCTGTTCAGCCAGCAGGAACCCTCCCACCCCTTCTCATTGAAGAAAAATAATAAATAATACTTACATTTGGTCACCATGACATAGGAAGCAAGAGCCCAAGAGGCAGTGGAGAGGAGATTAATGAAGGTAAGAGAAATGAGCTACAAGCAACAATTAGGCAAGCTGGTTCTCTTCAGTCTTGAGAGATGTCTCAGAGAGGACCTTATAGAGGTTTATAACATTTTAGAATAGGATTGCAAAAGTAAAGTCAAACAATACTTTAGAATGCATCAAGATGGTAGAAAAAGTGAACATAGGTTTAGAGCTGCAAAGAGCAATTTCAGGGCAGGCACCAGGAAGTTTTTCTTCAGCCAGAGAGTAATTAACCACTGGAACAGGTTACCTGGAAGGGTGGTTGAGGCCAGGACCTGGGACTCATTTAAAAAGCAGCTTAATGCTGTGATCAGAGGACAGTAGGGTGGGTGTACCTGAGGGATGAAACCAGATGGACTGAAGGACCTTCTGATCTTATAATTTGCTATAGTGCCTTTCACATAGGGAAGACGTGTCAAAAGGCTCCACATGATTTATAGTAAAGTGAAATACTGTGTTTTGTGGGCTAGCACAAAAGATAAACACATACGCATGTTAATCCCATTCCTTAACCAGTTGAAACCAGTTTAATATATCGCTTCCCTGTACAAAAAAGAATCCACGTTACAGAGTTTTGCACTGGTGGCTCACCAATGAACGTTAACATGAATTGCCTTGGCATAAATAGAAAAATCTCTCATCTAAAGCTATTTTGATGCAAACCCCAGCCCTTCTAGCTGCCCCCCACCCACCGAAGAGTACAGATTGGCACCAAAATACATTTGTTAAAAGGAAAATCACTTGCTGTTTCCAAAGACCCAACGACAAGCTACTTTCTCAATGTACCTTCTGGTATGTAACTCGCTAATATCTATCTCCCAAAACACCAGCTTCAAGTTCTAAAGGAATCCTACACACAAAACATGTTCTACAGACATTTTCTATAATTTAACATCAATATTACACTATCCTTCCCCCACCCCCCAACCAGCCTACGATCCCAATATAAACCCATTGAAGACTAAGTCCTCTGGTAATCGTTCACCCTCCCTCCACCGCCTTTAAAATCAATTCATAAAAATAATCTCTCCATTAATAAATAAATCTGTTGTACCGCATGATTTAATATAATCTCTATTTTCCCTTTATCCGATTCGGTTATTTGAAGTTATTCTTCATATTTTTCCAGAAAGCCCATTGCACCTGAATCCGTAGAGAAGCCAAGTTCCCCTCCTGTGTAACCTTTGCCTCGCTGCATGCCTGCCAGTGGAATTAACGCAGACAGACATGTATGTTTCACTTCAGGAAGGTTACAACATTCCGGGAGGGGTGGAGTGTTTCGGGAGAAATGGGTCAGTGGAGTTGGGGCAAGAGTCTGGGGGAGGAATGGGTCAGGGAAGGAAAGGGCTGTTCGGAGAGAGAGGTTTTGGAGAGGGATGGGTTGGTTGGGTGTGGAGGAAGATGGAAAGATTGGTTGGTTGGGGTGGAGAGGGAAGGGTTCAGTGGTGAGGCAGGGGAGAGAAGAGGATGGAGTGATTGGTTTGAGAGAGAGGGAAGAGTTGGTGGGGGAAGGGGATGGGTTAGTTGATTGGTTGGTGGATTGGGGGAGAAGGGGTGGTTGGCTGGTGATGGGAGAAGCGTTGGTTGGGGGAAATAGGGAAGGGTTGGTTGGTGTGGTCGATTAGTTTTGTGGTGGGAGAGGGAAGGGTAGGGTGATTGGATGGGTAGAGAGTTTGGTGGGGAGGGGGGAATGTGAAAAACAAGTGTGTTCTTCAGTGAAGCCATGAAGAGTCCTTCAGGGCCTGCGGGTTGCTCAAAATGGCGCCGGTTCCAGTAGACTGGCAGACAGATTGGCGAGTGCAGCGGCGTCACGGACCGGCCGGTAGCCGAAGAGCTGCATAGCGGGGCCGCAGGCACCCTGCACGGCCTGGGCGAGCTTGAAGGGCAGCAGGAGGCGCCACTTGTCGCTCTGCTCGGACGAGTTCCTGCGGGTGGAGTAGACGCTGCCTTTCTGGGTGCCGGGCTGCGGGCCCTGCGTGTTCTCGCGGATCCAGGCCTCCACCTCGCGGGCCAGGGTTATGCCGGCGAAGCGGTGCATCTCGGCCGCCTTCCTCAGCGGCTCGCGAGTGATGTCTTCGTAGCGCACCAGCAGGTAACGTCCGCGCAGCCAGTCTGGCTGGCTGAGACCCAGCTCGGCCGAGGCGCGCAAGCTCTCGCAGCTCTCGCGGACTTTGGCCGCTTCCTCGGCACCGGGCGGGTCGGCGCTGTCTTGTCTCCCCCAGCGCTGCCAGGCCACGTAACGGCTGGAGAAGGCCACCATGCGCGAGGCCAGCACGGCGCGAGGGTCCCGCACGAGCTGAATGACGCGTAGGTCCAAGCGCGGGTCCTCGACCAACGGTCGCAGCAGCTCGAGCTGGCGCATGCGCACAGTTTTAACCGCCATGTGGCGCTGGCCCAGGCAGGCCTGGGCGGCAAGCGTCAGGTTGAGTGGCCCGCAGTGGTTCTTGCAGTGGTACCTGTCGGTTTTGGCGGTGTCGCCGGGACTGTCGGCGGCCCCCGCGGGGGGAGAGCAGACGGGCGGCTCGCACAGCAAGCGGCTGGAGAAGCGCCGGAAGAAGTGGCGCGTGACGTGTCCGTGCGGTGCCGGTGCAATGAAGGCCTCAAGCACCGACAGGTCGCACAGCAGCAGCTGGCGCAGCACGTCGCGGTTGAGCAGCCCCGAGGCGGCCCCGCCCGCCCGATCCGACTCGAAGGCCACCGCGCTGCCCACGTGCCAGAGCGGCTCGAAGAGGTAGAAGACGCCCGGGTTCTGGTTGAAGAACTCGCCCGAGAAGGACGAGCCCGTGCGGGTGGTAGCCATCAGGAGCAGCTGGCTCCTTGCTACCGGTCCCGCCGTGCTGCTCCTGTTGTTGTTGTTGTTGTTGTCATCCTGCTGACCCACCGCCGCCTCCAGCTCCCAGAATCTGGACGGCGTGGCAGCGAACTTGGCCGAGGCCGGCACAGAGAAGTTCATGGTAAAGTCCAACTTGGGCAGCTTGAGAGCGAAGCTGTCAGATACCCTGGGAAGGGAGTGGAGAGGATGGGGTGGGGTGGTGGGAGATAGACAAAGAGTATAGAGAGAGAGAGAGAGAGAGAGAGAGAGAGAGAGAGACGAGAGTAAAGAGAGAGGTAGAGAAAAAGGGCCGGAGGAGGGAGAGTGGGTAGAGAGAGAAAGGGGGGAGGGCATAGAGAGACGGGAGAGAGGAAGAGGAGTCATTTAGCATTTAGTACCACAGTTGAGGTATCTCAATACAATCCTGAAACAATACTACGCAACTTTGTTTTGTAGCATGCCTTTCAAATCAAGAGGACCTCTCAAAATGCTTTATAAGATTTTACTATCAAGTGTGGTGCTGTTTGTAGGTCAATACCGCAACCAATTTGCGCACAGAAATTTCTTGGGGACGTTCTGCCCCAGACAGCCGTAGAGCTATAGATGTGGAATTATTTGGTGTTTAAAAGAGAGGAGCATTGAGAGACATGGCTGAATTTAGTCAGCTGGGTTTCTGACACAAGAGGAAACCCGTCACCATGCTTCAGGGTATCCAAACCAGCTTGAGAGTTTCACATATGTACACCACCTAAACATGGAAATTCACATGTCTGGAATGCAATATGCATTCTCTTCTAGGTGGAAGGCATCCTGCTTTACCTAATTCCAAAGAGTTTTTGGTGAAGATTAGCGAGAGCCAAGGCTTGCAAGCTTCCTTCCGCTTAGTCCACCTAGGACCATCCTAGGACTTTGGCTTGCAGGGTTAACAGTAATTCAGTGGGAAGAACCCTTTTACCAATGGGATTTTACCAATAGATGTTAGGGAAGAGTTTTTTGGAGGAGGTTTGAAAAGACAAGGTAGAAAATAAAACATCTTACCTTGAGATGATCTTGTTTTCCTTCTCAATGATCACAAGGGTGGCTAAAAAAACGAGAACAATTGCATACTTGATTCTCATTGTCATCTCTCTGAACCGTGGCTTGTTACCGGCAGTCTGGACTGGAGCAGCAGTGCCTTGGTGATTTGGCAAGGATTGGCCGTTGTGTACTTCAGTACCTGAGCAGCACCATTTGGTCAGCATCGTCTATTACTATGGTCGTTGCCGAGTGGCTGAGACAACCTGGACTGGGGGAGGGGAGAGGGGAAACAAGATAGACTGCTCTTAGTGGGCAATGTTTCACCTTTGGTGGGAGGAAAGGGAGAGACTGGACAATATGACTGAGATAGAAAATGCAAAAATTACACCAGACTCATCATTACATTCGATACAACACCTTTCACATCTGGAGGATGACTCGAAGTGCTTCACAAGATTTTACTGTAAAGTGTAGTGACTGTTTTGTAGACGAACACAGCAAACAATTTGCACACAGCAATGTCCCACAAACAGCTATAAAGTGAATATCCATTTTTCTCTTGTTAGCCAGGATACCAGGAGGAGAAACCCTCTTCTCTTTACAAATAATGCCATGGGATCTTTAACATCCACCTGAACAAGCAGATGGGAGCTCAGTTTAATATCTCATCTGAAGGACAGCACCTCTGACAATCCTGCGCTCCCCCAGTATTGCATTGGGAGTATCAGCCTAGACTGAGTTTGAAGTCACAATGGGCTTAAACCCATAACCTTCTGGCTCTGTTTGTGGGCTACTGTGTAAATTTCTGCTTCATTCACCCGTAAAATAGTGCTATGTACAATGAACCATCTGAAGCGCTTTGAGATGTCCTCCTGACGTGAAAGGCGCTGTATCAAACGCAAGGATGATTTTAAAGGTGGTTGTTTTAAAGGGAAATGATTTAGCAGTTGCTCGTGATTCCCACAGCAATTCACAGTACACATGTGGCTTGTTAGAGAGGTCATGCATGTGGCTCACTAGTTCACATTGAAGAAAAGTGCGGGGCTTTTCAGCTCTTTCCAGTGCTAGGAGCAGTGGTCTGTGGCCAGCATCCTTTTTTCTGCCAGGGCAGCGGATTCCTCAGCTGTGTATGGCATTGGCTGGATGGAGACCTTTGTTGGACTTTGCGATGAGTAGGTGGCAAAGTCAGCGCTCAGAGTGACCTCAGCCTTAAAACTCTGTTCTTTCTGTTCCTTTCTCGCAATCGATACAGGCGTAGCCTTAGTTGCTTCCACTGTGTGGGAGTGCGTGCATACAGTCTTACACATACAGAGGCTTGGCAATGGGACACTGGTAAAACTATATAAATATTTATAAAAATATATCAAACTACTGCCTGGATAAGCAATCCAAGACGCAATCCCGTATGAAGGATGGCACTATATAAATGCAAGTTGTTGGTGCCAGGTCTTAAAATACCATGGGACTATAGAGGTAGACACAAGAACAAACTTATTTATGTAGTTTCACCAGTGTCCCATGGCCAAGCGAGTGCGTGTGAGATTATGCACACACCATGGGGCTATTTTAATTTCCTCTGCCCCTCTTGTCAGAGTAAAGCTTTCTCTACGCTGTCTATCCAGCACTCCCAGTTCATACCCCATAAAGCCTCTATTTGTCATATTCCTGTCAATTTCTCTTATGAAACCCACAAGGGACTCTACCACCTTACTTGGCAGGCCATTCTACCTACAATCCTTAAGTGAAATGAATTCTCTTGAACTCACTTTTTGCTCTAGTCACTGACTTCTTTACCAGTAGAAATTGCCCCTCCCCATTCACCCTGTCAAATCCCTTCACTATTGTATAGAAAGAATCAAGGGAGACATGGTTACAATATATGGGATAATGAAAGGTTCAGAGAAGGTTGATGAAGCGATTATATTTTGATTGCTGAGTAAAAATAGGGCAAGAAGTTGGAAAATAAAATTCATAAATTTGAAGTTAGAGGTTACAAGCATCCCTCATCCCCACCACAGGGTAGATATTTAAACAAGCAGTTAGTTCTACATATCACATTTACATTAAATTTTGTCGTCTATGCTGACACTGCAGTGCAGTGGGAAAGCAGCATTGCTGGAGGTGCTGTTCTTCGAATGAAATGTTAATCTGAGGTCCGATCTGCCTGTCCTGGAGGACATTTAAAGAACCTACCATACTATTGGAAAAGAGGAGAGTTTCCCCTGGTGTCCTGGCCAGATAAAATTTGTCATTCACTTCATGGCTGTTTGTGGAACCTTATTGTAGGTAAATTCACTGCTTGTTTATAAAATGCAGTGACTACACTTAGGGACGTTTCTAAGTTGTAGAGGCTGTATCAAATGCAGTAAGTATTATTAAAAGCTGGATGGTTTACTTTGGAATTTTTTTTATTTCCTTTTTGGGAACATGACATTTAGGCCCAGAGCACTTTCTGTTTCCGATTCTCTCCCCATCTCCACCCTCAGCTGTTTCTGAACCAGAAGTTCCAGGGAAGTTGAAAGGTCGTCCAGATGGCAGGATCATTCTTAGAGAATGACAGCTGAGAATTATTTTTTATTCTTGAACAAAGATCAAGAAAAGCAGAATCAAAATCCTCTAGCGGTCTCTAGTTCGGTTCCCGAGTCAGGTGAGTCCGATATAAAAGGTGCTGTATTAAATGCAAGGATTATAATCTTATTTTGATTTGTGCACAAAAACCCACAGTCACTACACTTTACAGCATGAGATGTGCTGATGTGAAAGGGTTTGTATCAAATATAACGAGTATTATTTATGAACAGAGCGGGAAACGAGGACAGGAAAATGATGCTTTATCCATCAATGGTAATAAAATACATTCACTTAAAATATTAATTGTATAATTGAGTAGATTAAAAAGAAAACAGCTTGTGTTTAATCTGTGATTCAGTGGCTTGTTCCCCAGAATGTTTGTTTCCACACAATGCAAATCGGATATGGAGCCTACAATCCAATCTGTCAAGTGACATTTCATGCATCATTGCTTGCAATAACACCACAGTCAAACTAGACTGAGCCATTGCTCCATTATCCAGGTGATTTCCCATAGATTCATTCACTCCTGCTCACCCCTTTCGCTTAGCTAACAGACCTGCTGTGTGACCCCTCTGTACCATTGGTGGCTGTGCCTTTGCTACTCCGCCAGTAACAAGCTGCAATACAGTAAACTCCTGATAACTTGACACTGGCTTAACTCGTCAAAACCGCTTTAGTCATCATACTGTCAATATTCCGGCTGCATTTATTTATGTATTTATACAAGTATCTAACTCGCCACTCCGCATAACTTGAGCTCCATTTCGCTTGAAGCAATATGCATAATCAGGAGTTTATTGTATACAGCACAAATTCACGAAGAATACTCTTGCCTTCAGTCACTTTGCTCTCTAGATCTCTTCTTATGTGGTACTCCTGCGGCACTACTCAAAGAGAAAGGTGTCCAGGTGTCCTGGCCAACAATCCACCAGATAAAATTGATCACTCACTTTGTGGCTGTTTGTGGGAGGTTGCCTACAAAATACACAATCACTAGACTTTCCAGTAATTTTTGTGAAGAGCTTTTTAAAGTCCTAATACAAAAGACTCTATATCAGATGCAAAGGTTATTAGAATTATTACGGGTCTTGAAAGCAGAGAAAAAGTGTTCATCTGGGCTGGAATGAAACAATCTCAACGAACATCTCCCCGTAAACTCCCCCCTCTATCTCATCAGGTGACAGAGAGCCTGGCTCAGTTGATAGCACTTTCACCTCCAAGTGGGAAGATTGTGAGTTCAAGCCTCACATAAGGACTTTGAATGCATAATCTATGCTGACACTGCAATGTTGGAGGTGCCACCTTTCAAATGAGATGTTAAAACTATGCTCCCAATTCTGCCTTTTCAGATGAACGTTAACGATCACACAGAACTACTGAAAAAAAGAAAGAAGTTTCCCCTGATATCCTGGCCAACAAAATTGTAAAATTGGTCATTCATTTCATGAATGTTTGTGGGGCATTGCTGTGCCCCAATTGGGTGCCATGTTTACCTACAGTGTAAAGTGAATTGACAGTGTACTTTTTGGACGAAATGGGTCTCAACAACGTGAAAAGGAACTTTGTCAAATGCAAGAATTATAAGTATTTTTTATTCAGCGCCTTGGGACATCCTCGACGTGAAAGGTACTATTCAAATATAATTTGTTGTTGTTGTATTCACTTGTCAGAGGAATGATGCCTATTATAGAGTTATTTAAATGCTAAATGATATATCGAACAGTGTCCACTTTGTGTGCTGAACACGCCCTTCTGATAGAGAAGGCATTTATAAACATTGCACCTCACCAGATCTCATGTATCCTTTCATGAACATACAAGGCAGTGTTGCTTTCACGCCTCACAGTCTCCAGGCACCTACTAATGTACCTTTGTGACTCCTCATCAGCAAAGCTCAGTCAGGGCCAAGATTTCTCTGCTAAGCTACGAGCAACGATTAGACAGGCTGGGGCTGTTAAGTCTTGAGAGAAGACAATTCAGAGGGGAGTTCACAGAGGTGTGCAACATTTTAAATGGGATTGAGAAAGCAAACCTAGAACCAGCCTTTAGGTTTCACCGAGACAGCAGAACTTCATCTGTGTAGCGCTAGGACCATCCTACCCGTTAGTGCTTCGGCTTGTATGGTCAAGAGGAGCTGAGTGGGAGGATTCCCTGTGTTGCCTAGGCTGTCTGCCCTTCCAAATCCTGCCGATGAGCCAGGCTGGCTGTGTTGTCATCAGCAGTGCCATGGATTACTGCGGAACCAACTACTCAGGAACCTGGTTATCGGGACTGCCAGAGAGGGATGGCTCGATTCCGACATTCTGTTGCTAAACATGTCACCTTGGAACCAATTCAGCTCCAAGAAGATCCCACTTACCTCCCCCATAACCAGGGTCAGTGCTGTGATGGAAACAACAGCCCAGGCAACAAACTAGGCAAGCTCACCCATTGCACCTATCTCCTGGTGTCTCTCGCCAGGAATCCTCCAGATACAATAAGTCATTCTTTTCAAAGTTCTGTGTCCGCATCGGGAGAGTTAAATGCTGTGTGCAAATTGGCTGCAGTGTTTTAATTAAATTTACAGTCACTCCACTTTGAGTCACTTTCTGTGAAGCGCTTTGAGTCCTTTTGATGTTACAGGTGCTGTATCAAATAATAATAATGATAATAATAAGACTAATATAGCACCTTATCCTGTCATGAAGATGTCTC